CGGTCAGGCGGGAGCCAGGGGAGCGGGAGGTGGCCGGGGCGGGGCGGGAGCTGCAGGAGCCCGAGGCGGTGGGTGATGGGGCCTCCCGAGCTGCTGCGCTGCGGGCCCGGGCAAGCTCCCGGTCCATCCTCCCGCTGGCCTGGCCCTCCTGCAGCCCGCTGCTCTGGGTTCGATGCACGGCTGGAGCTGAGCTGCAGCCTTTGGCCTGAAACGGGAGCTGGGCTGAAGGTGGAAGGCTGGTCACAAAACCTGGTGTGACTTGCCTGTTTGGACGTGAACTGCACCCGAAACACCTGCCTATACAGATTTCTTACATTTCTGTCATATGCTTGTTATACATCTATTGCTGACGCCTCCTGTAGGACTAGGTGCTGTTGAATCCCTCCGAGGTTTCTGCACTTACAGCTTGGAGAAAAAAAGAAAGCAATTTTCTTCCGATACGTCGTTTGCAAACAAACGCAGGCTTTAGATTCTCCTTAGGACAACGCATATGTGCTACGTTATCTGGACTTTGTATAAGAATTTGCAGTTGTCTTACAAGCCTGAGTTCTACAACAAAATAAGTAAGTCTTAACTCATTTTTAAAAATGGAAAGAATATATTGAGGCTGTAGCAAGGTGGGAGTTGGTCTCTTCTCCCAAGTAACAAGCGATAGGAGGAGAGGGAATGGCCTCAGGTTGTGCCAGGGGAGGTTTAGGTTGGATATTAGGAAGAACTTCTACACGGAGAGAGTGGTTGGGCATTGGAGCAGACTGCCCAGGGAAGCGGTGCAATCACAGTCCCTGGAAGTATTAAAAAAATATGTGGGTGTGGTGCTTAGGGACATGGTTTAGAGGTGGACCAGGCAGTTCGGTTAACGGTTGGACTCGATGATCTCAGAGGTCCTTTCCAACCCTAACGATTCTCTGATTCTATGTTGAGGTGCAGCCAGTGGTATGAGTGCAGCATTTGGACACACTGCTCAGCCGGCGCTGGTGCCGATAGCTCCCCGTAGCAGCGGGGTCCTGGGGGATTGCTTCCACCGTCAGTTGGCGCAGAGCCTGGTATTGCCCCAGCTCTCGCTTCTGGCTGCAGCATGGATGGAGGCGAGTGCCTGTCCTAACAGCACGCAGCCCGATGCTGGCACAGCTGCAGCTGGGAACCACTCATGTTGTGCCATACTCTTGCTATAAATTCATCAGTCCCTAGGGGGTTTTGCATTTTGCTTTGGGGTTAAACTGGAAATTGGTTTTAGGGAGAACTGTCAACAATATAGTGCAGCGACTCAACAGAAAAACTGCTTCACAGGCACAACTCTCAGTCGCTGATATCGCCTTCTGCAGTTAACCGCTCACAGGCGGTGTTGGAGTACAGCTGAGAGGGGCTGTTGGGCGCGGGCTGTTTGCTGTAGCCCGGCTGGGCGGTGGGAGAGCTCCCTGCGGCAGGGAGGTCTGCCGGCTGCAGCTCCCTTGCTGCCCCCAGCTCCTGGGCAGAGTTGTCTCCAGGTATGTTTCACCATCCATTTCAAAGTCAGGTCGCTTTGTTGGTGAACAGGAGTTTTGTTAAGAAAACCAGGCTGGCCTCAGTAACTTTTTTCTGAATATTTTGAGGAACTTTCACGCATTTACTGATGTGCTGCTGCTTCCCTTGGCAAGGTGCTGGTGCCCTGCAAGCCTCTCCTGCCTCTGGCCCTCGGACATCACCCTTGGGAAGTTGTACCAGTTGCATTGTGCCCGGCTGCGTAGGGAAGAACACCTGAAACGCTTTGATCGAGTGCTGGAACGAATCTCACCTGTTTGTTCACCGATCTGAAGAGGAAACACATCACTTTTTGGCAGCTGAGGTATTCCTTTATCCTAAATTCAGCTTCAGTCAGAAAAGCTACCGGGTGTTGGGGGTTTTTTTGCTGTGAGGTATAACAAAAGTTTGCCATTCCTTCAGAACTGAATGGCGTGGAAAGACCTAATGAAATAATGTTAACTTATTAATTTCATTAATCCTGCTATAATCAAAGACACGCTTCAGAGTTTTGTTTTACACAAAAAAGCTCTTATGTCCCAACTGTCAGTAAGAAAAATTATCTTCCACTATAAATGTTGCTGAAATATGGGAAAATGAATCAAATCCTTAGGAATTCTTGCTTAACAAGTTCTGCTGACAGCACAGGTGCTGACGCCTGTCAGAGCCAGAGCTTGCTTTGCTCCTGCTTAAGCAGGAGTAAATTAGTTCACCTGTCTGATGCCACTGGAGTTCTGCCAGCACAGTGTAAATGAGATAAAATGTAGGATCTTTATAGGAACTGGATACGAAAAGATTAGAGTCGTTCCTTGTGAGGTTTTTACCATGGTCACTTCCAAATTCTCAAGGCCGGAACAAGCTTCCCTTTGCTGATACGGTCCTCGTCATTCTCTCGTGTGCTTTTCTGGGGACTGCTACCAGGCATTGGGTGACGTTTGCATAGCACTCTGTCATAACTCCAACGAGCTCTTCCCTGGAGGGCCGCAGTTAGGACTGGTTTTCCTCCCTATGTATTATATTTATTCACACCAAGCTTCACCTGTCACATTAGATTTAGTTTTCCACTATCATGAGGCTTCCTACTGCTGAATAACTCAGCGGACTCTGTCACCTCACAGCTCATTGCCTCTTCCAAATGGCAAACATCTTAATATTCAGCAAAGCCATACGTGGAGCTAGTATTTTTCTTGAGTGATTCAGACAGAAGGTTCTGGTCGCAGAGGGGGAGCTGCAGACAGATTCAGCTTCGGTGACAGACCGCGATTTCGGTTTGCACGAGTCAGGCTGTCACTGTTGCCCCTGTGACTCAAATCCCCACCCGGTTCTCCTGCTTGTGCCGCGAAGTGGCCCTCTCCAGCGGCAGGGCTGGGAGGTGGCGGGGGGCCAGCACCCCCTCAGCCCTGTGGCATCCTGCCACTCGCCTGGGTGAGCCAGCCTGTGCCGGGGGAAGCCCAGCAGATCCAGCAAGGCAGAGCCCACAAAGCAACCGGGAAGCAACAGCTACTGTCATGCACACGCATGTTAGCACAGCATGCTATGCAGTGTAGTTTTTGCAAAATATTTATTACAAAATAAACGTAAATATGGCAACAAAACTTAAATAGCAAATGACGCGACACTGGCCATAAAGCTCTCGCTATATTATTAGTATTTTACAATAATCAAGTCAAGTATGTCTCCAAGGGAAGCTGCACGTGGACAGCTGAGTATATTTCTATATTATTGGCTCTAGCTGTTTGAGATACATTAGATGTGTGCCTCCTGCTTTCACCTGTACCCAGCTCTGAGTGGTTGTGCCGTGTGCTGGGCTCACTGATCCCCCTAAAACGGACAGGAGCGGGCAATTCCCACGCTCTGTGAAACCTGCCATGCTTCACCCCAGCCCCTCCTCCCCTTTTTTCTTTTAACAGCACAGCAAATGATCCAATGCCCATCCCTTTTTAATAAGGTAGCAGGAAATGCAGTATCAACACTGAAGTACCTATTGTTCCCCTTTGAGTCACAACTTCTCTTGTAAGAGGTTGCTTGATTTCTTTCCTTTTCCACCTACTAAAAACTGTTATGAAAGCTCACCAGTGAGAAAGCAAGTCTGTGTTCCTCCTGAAAGGGCTTTTAGGTGCGCTCCAAACAGGAATGCAGCCCTTCAAGTCTCTCAAGCTACATGTCTAATGGAAGCACTCTTTAAATAAAATATAATTAAATTAAAAAAGGTGACCGTGTGTGGGGAATCTTCCTAAGGCACCCAAGAATTTAAAAAGACCTTTTCCCACTCGTATTACTTACAGGACACTCTTGTTTCTCTTCTCTCCAAAGTTAAAAATGTTGGCTAGTTAGGAACCTTAGCATACATGATGACATAGTTGAATATCATTTAAAAAAAACAGAACAAAAAGAAAACCCTTGGTGAACGTAAAGCACTATGTCCAGACAGCCTAGGTTTTGCTAGCTATGCAAATACATCATGGACAACATGTAGAAATAGTCACGTTAATGCCGAGGTTTCCATTGTCAGCAAAAAGGTGTGCTATAGCCGTATCAAAAACTAGGCAGTCGCTGTTCAGAATGGCCGCAGACACCCCGTCATGGATGGAGCGGGGCGTTGCCTCCCAGGTCAGCCGGCGGCGGTTGCCGTTCAGCTCCAGTCTGTACGCAAAGTTCTCCGCTTGCTTACGGGTGCCGATGAGCAGCACGATGGCAAAAAACTGCTGGTGACCTTCGTACTTCTCTTGTTTCTCCAGCACCAGCATGAAGTGGTGACCGAAGCACGACTGCATCATCACCCAGTCAACCGCGCCTGGAAGGTTAATGTCTGTGGCAAGAAAGACGATGTCTTCTCCCTGAAGGGTGGTAATGCTTTTGTGGGCATGCATGAGGTGGGACATCACGGCTTCCAAGGATCCCTGCCATTTACAGGAGGCACCAGGGCATGGGCAGGAGTAGGGACGATACTCACAGATGTCTTCGTGTTCTGGCTTTTCTGTGTGATGGAGTGTCAGAGAGCAGCCTGTTGTGGCGTACTGGAAAAAGACCAAATACAAGCTGTCAGGAAAGGCACCAGCACTAGTGTTTGCTGCTCCCACCTGTCAACTGGAAACACTGGTGATCAACCAGAACTCTTGTTCTCATTGCAAATTTTACATTAGATACTTCTATTTAGCCCTGGATTCAGAGCCGAGCTCTACTTATTTTTGTTTCCACTTAAAAAATAGATTCTTCTTGTCTTTTGTGGTTGTTTTTTTTCTAATGCAAGCACTCAGATAAAACGGGTTGTAAGGCTGAGTTGTAGTTAGATTTGCTGTTGTCGTTAGATCTGATCGGTCCAGATCAGCTGAAGTGCTCCTGGTTTGTATTTTTCTTTTCTTTAAAAAGAACAAAGGATTCTAGTTTCAGCAAACAGCTACTAGAGTGTAGTACTTTTAATAGATGTACCTTATTACCATCACAGAGCAAGAGCACTTCCATTAAATTCAAATGCAGGTTCCCCACAGCTTTTTTTGAACACTGGAACAGTTTCAACACTGCAGTTGTGAGAAGTGGCAAGAGTGAGGACAATTTTTCACTGAGCATAGAGCTAGCGCACAAGTAAGTACCATCTAACCTCCCTTAATGTCATTGGGCACTTTAGAGGGTTAATTTGTTTTAAACAACTGGGGAAGCTTTTCCTTTTTCTAGTCAGTTCAGTGGTCCACACTGACCATATTGCTTTCACGCTACCTCCATAGAGAGAGAGAAAAAGTCTCTCCTATTCTCCCCAAGAGCACAGCTCCCCCAGTCTGTAGGCATCTGTAGTGATACCAACACCACTGCTAACAAACACTATCACGCAGGTTACAACATGCGTGCGTGGCTGCTTACGGACACTATGACGCTTCCTTGAGGACAGATATAACCAAGGTGTAAATGATTATTTCTGGGCTAGTATGTGCGCAAGAAGTTTCAGCTCAAAGGGCTAAATGCCCAAGGTGCAAGTCACCCATGCTGCAAACACTAGGAATACTGCACTAAAAATACTGGGACAGAAACTCGACCTTGTGCTTCTAGAGGAGCTTGTTTTATAAGCCATAAAGAGTTAACGTGAGCCTTCACTTACTGTGTCTACCTCTGCTGCTTAATCTTCTGCTAACGGCTTTATTGCAGGGCGCTGCAGTGGAACAAGGCGTCCTCCTGCCAAAGGCAGAAGCTCCATCACGGCAAATGCACGGTCTGCCATGCCTGCTGCCCTGCTTGCTGCGTAGCGCAGCTATCCAGGTACGTGTACGTTTCCAGCCCCACCAGCCTGCTGGCTTTTCCCGCATTCATACTCCCATTAACACTTCCATCATGCAACATGTTGAAGAGCGGCTCCGAGTCTAACCTCATTAACAAAATTAGTACGGATATACACGCTGCTGGTTGGGCGAAACCAGATGTCTACATGAAAGCAACCAGTGGTGACTACAGAAGTGAGAGCGTAAAAACAAGATGAGCAAATAGCGGTAGCTTTGCCCTTCACTGTGAGAAGTACCTGCTTTTGTGTGCTCCCAAACCCATCACTATGAGTTTCATTTGGTGAGAAGCCCTACCAATGGTGGGAGACAGTGAACAGCAAAAACTGACTTGCCGTCTTCATGCTGCTTGGCAAATGTCATTGATCTTTATCATACCCCTCAAAAGCCTGCTTCGTCTCTCCCTGTGTACAGGTTATACAATACCTTTGAGTTACTTGGCCCGTGCACCTTTTCCACTTCTATCACGTCTGCCTTGAGACAGGGAGCCAGGGCTGTGCATGGTGTTAACAGTGCAGGTGTGGCACTAATGCCTGGGCTGGCGTGACTGTTTTCTGCTTTTTCATTGCCCTTCTCATCATTTCTAGTATTCCATACTGGAAAGTATTATGTACTTGTTTTCAGTCATTTGTTTAGCACTGTATTCTCTAAGAGGAAAGAGCCAGCTCAGAGCTCATCACCATATACATGACTTAGCATGCCATGTTTTTGCCACGTATGTCACTCTGCGTGTGCTGCTCTGAACTTGACTTTGACAGGATAGCTTTCCGAGTGTCCTAAAGCATTCAGAAAACATCAGTTAAGCTTGAAAGTGTTCAGCAGAGGCAGGCCCATATTATCAACCCTGTAAATGAAGGCAGGCAGGGACACAGGATTAAAGAAGTAACTTGTCTGAAGCCACATGGGAAATCAGTAGCAGAGCTGCGAATAGACTGCCAAGTCCAAATCCCTGCTGCTCCAGCCAGCAGACTCTCCCTTTAGTATAAAAGTAGCGTGAGATACAAATAACGCTTCTGGAAAGAAGAGGCCTGCCTGCTCCTGTATGTGTGTCAGCAGTGTTCAGGGACCCAACGAGGACTGAGACCCTCCTGTGCTTCTCTCTCCTCCAGTGGTTTGTAAAACATCTGTCCCTGCTTTTAAGCTCCCTCCAGCCTTCCGAAGCATTCACTCAAGCTTGGGTACAGGTGCTCAGCCCAGTCTAGCAATGATCCTAGGGAGCTCCCCCAGGGATGCACAGTGAGGTCCAGCCCAGAAAATGGCAAGCCTCTGTGCTTTCCAGAGCCTCGCAGCGGTGAGGAAACTGGCTCAGGCCACAGCCAGCTGCCTGCCAGAGTGCATTTACAAACTCTGCTCTGCCAGCAGTGCTGGGTCTGCTGTTATGGCTCACCTGGGAAAGGACTAGAGAGCATTGTGTCATTTCATATAGAGCGTGCAGACTCTATGCACATGCGCAGCTAGGGTGATGTAAGCTGACCCCTATGTGTAAGGGATGTCTGTTCAGTTAAAAACAAAATAAACATGCATTTTTATCAGAAAAAAGCCCACCGCTTTATTAGAGTCTACTATGTCTTGGAAATAGGAAGTGTGACCTTATTTAGGTTTAGTATATTTGCTTAAAATCTTTAAAATGACATTTTTTTTTTTAAATTAAAGCTCTGAAGAGGCTGTAGAGGCAGCATTGGACAATATACAGGAGTAAGTTTGTATACAATAATAACATGAACGTGCAATTTCTGTTTGCAAGTTGTTTGCTTACGTGGGAAACCCATCATGCTTTCCCTTGAACTGATGGTGTAGCAGTGGTGGTCTAAGGACATAGAG